GGAATTGCTAGGTTTTGTGTTTTGTGTTGAACCATATGGCTGACTTTAATTAGTTTATATGATCAATAAAGAGGATTACATAGTCATTTTCTTTTTCTTTTTTTTTTTTAAACACAACTATGGGTTCTCTGGTGGAACAAAGGCCCCGTGTGCTCACAGAAGATTCTGTTTCTCCTCATTATATGAACCAGCAGTTCCCAGTGCACTTCCACCAGGCTGCAGAAATCCTGGGTTTTGGAAATTCTGAAGCAGGAAGTACTCCAGATGTGACAATTGTTCGTGAAAACTCGATCCCCTACGTCTTTTTTTTTTTCAGCTTTTAATTTGTTGTGTTACTCAAACTGTATGTGTGTGTGTGTTTTCATTGTTAACTAAACCCTGAATCCCACATACAGAATGCAGCCCGGTGACAACCTGTCACACACGCGGTGCTGACGCAGCATCTGTGCGTCTTCTCCTTCCTCAGAGATTTTCCAGGCTGTCCTGCTGCAGCCGCAGAGACAGACGGCTCCTCTCCTCGTCTCTCTGATACCGTTTGACAGTTATTCTACGTACATAATGTGGATTTGTTTTTTTTTTCTCAATGGCATAAAGCTGGATTCTTTGATTGATCTTTTTAGGTCGAGCGAGCCTGCGTGCCCCGTGCTCTTCCTGCTACTCCAACTTCTTTATCCAGTCCAAAGATGTTTACTTTGAAGTCGGGGGAGGGGGTGGGAGGGTGGGGGGTTTAAAGACTCCCTGGTGTTGGTGTGAACGCTTGTTTTCGGTCCCTTGAGTGTTCGACTCCGACTCTGAGCAAACACCAACAGTTGCTGTATAAATCATTGCTTCTCAAATGGAGGGTTGTGACCCAGAAGTAGGTCTCATGGGCTAGTATTAGTGGGTCAGTTCTTTGAGTGATAGCCTACCACTGGTACAGTAGCACTTTCTGTCCGCGGTTTACCGACCTTCATATCATATGATTGATACTGTTGGCGAGTTAGGGTTTACATGTACGTGGTTAGCCATTAGCCTATGTAGCAACCATTACTGTGCCTCGATCACATGGTAGAGATCTGCTGCTCTCCCAGAGCCAGGCTTCAACTCATCACTGCTACTGTGATCATTATGTAACGTTGAAATGCAGTTTTTTTTCCTTGAATATGCTGACGATACCACTATTTAACTGATGTCTGTGGTTTTTTCAGTCAGTGCTTTATGTCAAAACCTGTTTGTCTCTGGTCAATGAGCACTGCATTAGTCAATATACTGTAGAGTAGAAGAAACTTTTACAAATACACACCTGATCCTGATTGTTATCCTGTCTAAAAAAATCTCGCCCCTGATTCTAATCCTCAGTCCAAATAAGTCAAACAAGCGCACGTTCCTCCATACAGGTCGTCTCTTTTGGCTCTCCATAAGTACAGCTATACCAGAAAAAAAAACACACACACACACACCCGGGCTGTAATTTTGCTGAAGGAAAATATAAAAAGAGGAAAAATTTAATCTTCCCTCTCTGCAACTTCCATACCAATTTTTACGACTCCTGAATCTCATAATGCAACGTTACAGGGAGAGACTTTTTAATAACCAGATTCTGTTGAAACTCCAGTTTATGCTGCGGCCCCGTCACACAGCCAAACTTTTTATTTATTTTTGTTTGTCTTAACCACAGATTGATATTTCAAGAATAGAGTTTTCTTTCTTCTATATACAACTGATTCTTATATTAAATAATATTTTTAATAATTAGAAAATATTATTTTTGGTTGCTCTGTATTAATTCCGTCATCAATATTATGAGTTGTACACTAGTATATATATTATATATACTATACTTTACTATCCTATATAATATGTGTAACTAGAGTTATAATTGTATAATACTAACTATTTAAAAATCTATATAATAAAGATATATTATATAACAATATAAATTCCAATATAGTAAAGAATTATTCAGATACACAGTACTGTTTAACTCTGAGACTGACTCTGTCCTTATTTGTTCTCTGACTGCAAAGTAAAATTATAAAAACTCGGATATTAATGTTGCTTGTATAAAAAAAAACCAACAAAATAAAAAAGACACCTGGCTGTGCACCATCTGTGCTACAGGTGGAAACTCTTACACCAGCAATCACTCATACATTAGAGTAACTTATTCATCTTCCACTCATGAGTGCACACATCTGATGTGCACTGCGGTCTTGGCCGTAGCTAAGACTTGGGTTAAATTGAGAGTAATTAAATATGCAAAGTCCGTGTTCGAGAGCAGACCAGAAGATTACAAAAGCACCTGCTTGAACGTTACACCTGCAAACAGGAGGCTGGTGAGTGCCAGCATTTTTATCTGGTGCTGCAAAGAGGTGCAGAAGGGGAATGAAACAAGCAGACTGGCAAGGCAACATAGGGGGAGTGGCCTGGTCATGGTCTGTAGAGAGTGGACAAAAGATAAAAGGTGAAGAAATACAAGGCTACTACGGCTAAAACAAACAAACAAAAAACACACATTTATTTAATATACATGTAAATAAATCTGTATATATATATCTTTGTTATATATATATTATAGATATATAAATAAATATGTGCATAACAATCCATATATAATATACAAACATAAGGTTTATTTAATATACATATATGTATATATGTATATACAAATATACATATATACATATATATGTGTATATATATATATTTATGTATTTATTAAGAAGTTAAACCTCTGATACCTTAAAATGAATAAATTAAGAAAAATAAATCGACCAATCAATGAAAAGTTTAGTCATATTTGATAGGCAAGAATTCTTTTTAATTAATTAATTAATTTTGTACTTTTCACTCTTTAATCATTTATTCCGGGGTCTCTTGTCTTACTGTCATTTTATCCTACAGCCATTTCCCCCCCAGTTGGTTGTTTGGTTCCCTTATGGCGGCACAGTATGTTTTCACAGTTGTTTTCCATCCAGCCTCTTCCTGTGTCTCCGACTGTCGCATTGTGTCTGTGTGGGAGGGGGCAAAGCAGATTTTTTTTCCATGGCTCATCAGAGTCTTTAGCTGGTAGTGCAGCTAAATGGGTAACTGTATATCCGCTTCTCCAATTAAGGGTGTTAATGTGCGAGTGTGCAGGGGAAAGTGTGAATGTGTGTGTGAATGTGTGTGTGTGTTGAATGCAAAGACAGAAATGTTCACAGCCACAAACATTCATCACGTGTCATCAATAAAACAAATGGACTGAAACCAAGTGGTGATTTTGACTAAAAACGTGAAATTTGGAAAGTGACGGGGTAAAATGTAGTGAATGTAAAACGTACTAAATCTCAGCGTCCTCCCCACAAACAGACTGGGCCGCACGGCAGTCCTACACGGGCTACACAGCAGCACACTCCCAGTCATTTCTGCTATGCTGTCTACTGCTTAATTGTAGTTGCCTGTAATAGCTGCAGGGACACACTGAGATGCTTTGTCATGGGAAATAAAACACAGCAGAATAGGAATAAACTTCCTGCCTCCACAGGAAGCTGCTGTTGCCATGGCAAAGTCGATTTAAAAGGTTGGTTATGTAAAAAGCAATTAAATATATATCTACAGTATATAAATATGTTCAAGGAACGTATCATTCTTTGTGCATGGGGGGAATAAATGGACGCACGTCTTTAAATTCTGTGTTCAAACACCAATGTTTGTGTGAGTCAGTTGGTGCAGCTGAAAGTTCCTTCCTTCCTTTTGGAAGTGCCTCCATTTATACAGTGCTGTAGTTTCTCTCTGTGACATCGCTGCAGCGGAGGCTTTTGTGTTGTTTTTCTCCAGGCTTCACGCTGCTGCAGGAAATCTGACACGGATTATTTTACCTGGTTCAAACTCTTTGGCTCTCAGACTTTATTCAGATTTTTTTCTCACATATACATATATGTTTGTACAGTATATGAACATGTATGTCTATTTATACGCCATATTTATATATACTAATATATATACGCTATATATATATATATACATACATACAGAGATATATGTCACAATTTCAATTGTGTTCTTATATATATTTATATATGTATATTTATATATGTATATATGTATATATATATACATATATATATATATATATATACAGTATATATATGTCACCTCAATTTCAATTTTGTTCTTTGCTGTGGTTAAGAATGAATCTATCCATTCACTAAGTGGTGAGAAATGAAAATGCATTTCCTCGCCCTTAACACTGTGATGGAGCCAAATGAACCGTCAATGAATGTGCAATGAGTGCTGACGCTGATTTACTCTCCAATGTCGTACCCTTCTGTGTGCATGTGTGTCTGATGTGTCTGTGATGGATGGTTCTTATCACGGAGCAAAGTCCTCTGTTATGCACACAAGTGAATTTATGATAAGAGCCGTGCGGAGCGAACACAGCACCAGAATAATGGGCCCTGGGGGCCTCGAGAACAACAAGCATTAAATATCAGTGAGTTGTGATGTGGTGTAATGACACGGGGGGGTGGTTTCATTGTCTGTGTAATCAAAGGCATATCAAACAGCTGTTTTTCTAATTAAGCCCTCAATAAATGTTTTAAATTGCCATTCATTCACTACATGTGCAGATATTATAAAATTCATTAACTTAAACAGGCGTCTCCAGTCTGCAGTGTGTGCGTGTGTGTATGTGCGTGTGTGCGATCTCATGACAGTCATCTCCATGCTCTAATCTCCATGTCATCTCTTATTTCAGATCTCGGCTCGGTTGCCATGACGAGCGAGGAGTGTCCTGTGCCGCTGAGGAGCATCTCCACGGCGGTGCCAGGGCAGAGCGAGGAGTACAACTCGGCGCAGCCTGATGACATAATCGAGGAGGTGGGTCCGGATGATGATGATGATGATGTCACCATCGGCAGCGACCTCAGCACGCTCGTGGTGCCCTTCCCGGATCTGGCGCCCGTGGTCTTTTTCTGCCTGAAACAGACCACCTGTCCCCGTAGCTGGTGCATCCGTATGGTGTCCAACCCATATCCTTTTACCCACTGCCTCAGGTGGACGGGAGTCTGGTACAACTGATTTGATCTTTGACCCGTGATTTCTTCACTCTTTAGTCCCAGTCACTTCCTCAATATAAAGAGATGGAAGTAGAAAACTAGAAGAGGTTGCCATTTGTTTCATTTATGTTTAAAATTATTTGGTAAATATTACACTTGCAGTGTGAAGGCTGGTAAAATAATAATAATAATAATAATAATAATAATAATATTTAATCTGATTATTTTCACAAATTAATTCATTGTTGATCTAATTAACTTCAACAGCTCTAATGACAACATGTAATAATAATTTGTTTTACATGTTTTATTCTATTCTTCTGGCTGAATGGGGGAAATAAATGTAAACCACCATGTATTCATGTATCTTACTGATACGGTGTGATTTTACATTTTAGAATGATTGACAGGTCCACCATAGTTGTTTTATTCGTCCAAAGATCTTCGTTTCAGTCGCCCTTTTTTCCTGCTCTTCATTCCCCTCCATTAGCCCCATGTATCAATTTTGCCATATTTTCTTTTCTTTTTTCTGTTATTTATTTAATTCTTTTTTAAATGCACTTTCATCCCTCTGGGCTCTGATCCGTCTCCTCTCATCCACCTTCACTACATAATCTGCTGGATTTGCCTCCACAGGGCAGGCAGGCATCCACGGATCTTCTCAAAGTAAGTGTGTTTGACATGCTTTTTACAACGCTGACTGCAGTGATCAGCACTTCCCTGCTTAAACAACTGAACGCAGATGCTTTTAAATGTGTGTGTGAGTGTGTGTGACTGAATGGTTCTACTGAGGTCCATAGCGAGCAGATGTCTGGTTGCTGACTACAGCGCAGTCTGGCTGAAGATGGTCCTATCACAAGAGACAAGTAAAACACACCAGGTGTGAAAAAGTGTGTGTGTGTGTGTGTGTGTGCTTCATTGCCAACCATGCGTTTGACTTACAGTGCACATCTTTAGGATATTACGGCCCCTGATTTATAATGTGTTTTATTTAATTACATGGTGTTAAAACCTGTTCAAGTTGCAGCTGTACTTTTGTTTCCCGTGTCCTCCTGTGGACCTACTCTGGACTAGGGTCGGTCATTAGTGGTCAGGTTGTTCACCGTCATTCATCCGACATCGTAGACATGCTCAAAATGATGATGAGCTCATATTTGAAACCTTTTGTTCTGCAGAAGTGTGAGACTGAATGGTTTTTCTCAGTGTGTCTTCCTGATATGGACTGGCCGGGGTCTGACTGCTGGGATTGGCTGCAGGCCCTCATTCCAACCCTGAAAACAATGAAGCCGTAGAAGGAAATCGAATGAATGACCGTTTTGCAGCGGAAATCAAACAGTGATTTCCAAACATGGGGCGCTGTAGTCCGTTGGCTGTCGGAGGCTGGACAACAGGACAAATATTTGACTTTCAGATTCCTGTTTAGATGTTTGAGGTGAAAGTGGTTTTAGGAGGATTTAACAAAGCCCGCTAACAGCTGAGCTGTGCTCCTTTCATATGGCCCAGTGCCACAGGATACAAGCATCGAGCATATGTACACGCACACACACACACACACACACACACACACACACAAATGCACTCTAAATCTCATTTCAGATCGCCTCAGCTTCTGTTTCAGCTCATTGGTTGCCGAACACCCATGGCGACTAAAACTGTAAAACTGTGAGACAATTCTCTCTGCAGTGTGTGTGTGTGTGTGTGTGTAAGAGAGAGAGAGAGAGCGAGGCAGAGTGTGTGTGCGTGATAACGGCTGTAAGACATAAATGTTTGTGGTAATCTAAAGTTTGTAGGAGAGGTATTTTCCTGGTCACTGAGTTGAGGGTTTAACCTGCGGATGTCTGCTGTGGCTGTGTGTGTGTGTGTAGGTGTGTGTGTGCGTGTGTATGTGTGTGTACTTGCATTTTGGCTTGGACCAGATGCTTTTGTTGCTCGTTCTTTTGATTTACAAAGCCACCGGTGCATGTGTGCATACTTTATACTGTATATTTGTAGTACTTCAACATATCTTAAGTGACTTTTGTCTGTGTTTCTTATGAAAGGGGGTGAAATAAGTACTTCTTCCACCATTTACTTTGAATCAATAACTCAGTCACCAGTCAGTAGCTATGACAGCCTCTCTCTCTCTCTCTCTTTCTCTCCCTCTCTCACACACACACACCGACTGAACGATCTTCTCCCACGCTTGTCCACAGCAGAGCACCCACGGCACCTCCCCATATCTGACACTCCACACTCTTGGAGTGTACAAAAGTACGAAGTTACACAAAACAAACTAGACAATAAAAAATACCGTTTTTTTTTAAATGTAAAAAAGTATTAATGAGTAATAAAAAATTAGAGTAATTTGTATCCTGAAGTCGAAGGTATGAACACTAAGTTTAATATATTTTCATGACGTTTGTACCAAAACCTCAATATAATGACAGGTAGCGCTGGTTGCACCCCAGATGGGACTTGAACCCACAATCCCTGGCTTAGGAGGCCAGTGCCTTATCCATTAGGCCACTGGGGCACATGGAGCCGTGTATTAATAACCAGCAGGACAATCCAGCTGGACTCAGTGGTGGAGGACGTAGACCAGCTCCAGTCTGAATTTGAAGGCCAGCGGTTCATTATCCGTAGATGTGGCCCAGTGATGTTCTGGTCAACTGTCCGGGTTGCGGCCCACTCTAACCCAGTGAGTGCTACTGTAGGATTGGCCGCGGCTCTCTGGAGAATTCCATGATTAAAGAAGATGAATGGCCGAATGAATAATTTATGGCCTGCACTCCTTCTCTGTCCTACTTGTTTACGACTCTTAAACTGTAGTTATAATTGCAGAGTAGGCACATGGAAAGGTGTCATTTCATTATTTTTATTTTTTATTTATTTATTTTTTAAGTGAAATGCAAGGGTAATTACCTGCAGCGCGCAGCAATTCAGACAGGAAATGTGCTTGAACGTGTGCATTAGTTGTTCCGAAGCAGAGGGATGATTGATGCACCGCTCCGGGCACTGTTGTTGTTAGTTCTCTTTTTTTTCTCCAGCCATCCTACAGCATCGCTGTTGCACTGACACTTTCTCCTTCCAATCTTTACTTCTTTATGTTTTTCTTTTTCTTTGTTGTTCTTCCCCTCACATCTTCTCCACCCCTCACTTTCTTTGGTCGTCCTCCTTTCATATCATGTCAAATCTCAGTTTTTTTTTTTTTTTAAACCCGTCGCTCTGGTTACTGCTCTTACTTTTTGCATGAGCCTACCTTTACCTCTGCTCCTCTGATTGGCTCCTGTGGTGTTCTCACAGAGTGAGTGGCCTCCGTGGCCCGTGGTCCTTTTTGGCCCTGACAGCTTGTTATCTCCATGGTGACGGATGGCCGAGGTGTTGCCATGCCGTGCCCCTAACTACGGCTGAGGTTAGAGCACCCACCTGGGACACACCACCGTCTCTCTCTCTCTCTCTCTCTCTTCTTCCCTCTCTCCATGATCTCACAGGTTCTTGTTGGGAAGTCGTCATTATGTGAATTACAGTTACAGCTTCTCTGCACTTAGAGTGAGCTGTGCTGCTTGATGGATGTTGAGTTATAGCATCTCATCGTCTTATTTTTAAGTGAAGATGATCTAAGATGATCAGCCTTTGATTCTATCTTTTTCCGTCTTCTTTTTCTTTTAAATATTTTGATATTTTGAATATTTGATGATCAGCCTTTGATTCTATCTTTTTCCCTCTTCTTTTTCTTTTAAATATTTTGATTTCATTTCTGTGACAAATTAATTCATTTTCATTCCATGATTCCATCTTATGCCCAAATTTCATTTTCATACCCTGGTCTTGTGCAATAATGTGCATGTTCCACTTATTTTAATGAGGCTCTGCTCAAGTGTGAACTGTTGTCCTTTTACCCCAGGGAAACCTCTCTATGAAAGAGGCGCAAACATTAATGAGACAAACCTCTTTTAGGGCTAAATAATACTTGTTAAAATACTAACGCTTCCTTAACAAATCCCAGCGCTAACACCAGAACCAATACTGATCCTAATGATTCTTATTATTTGGGCCATTCTTTATCACTTCCTCCTTCCTGCCCGCTCCCCTCCATCCCCTCCTCTCCTGCTCTGCTCCCTCAGGTCTAGTCTAAACCGCATTAGCGCTTACGCTGAGAGGAGGCAGCGATGAAAACGGAAGAGCAGAGAAGAGATGAAGAGCTTAAAGTGACTCTAATGACTACCATAGTACACTGCCTTGGTGCACACACACACACACACACACTCCGTGTGACCTCTCTCACATGCACTACGGTTTTAGGTTCAGATCCTGTCGGCTGTGGAATGCGGTGATGATTTCTAGGTTCGATGCCGATTCTGCTACCGTATGTGACTGTGGACACGCAGCTATAGCACGTAGCATTGTGATCTCACCACTGTCTGCAGATCAGTGTCTGTATCTTAAGCCTGGGATGCGCTGCATGCATCTGCAGCGTGTTGCTGCCTCAGCGCCGCTGCCTGTCATGGCACTTTTTGTTGGAAACATTTCCAGCAAATAATAATCATCTGTCTGCAAGAAAGTTTCCAGCAAATAATAATCATCTGTCTGTAAGAAAGAAAAAAAAAAGAAAAAGTAAGAAGCTGTATTTCTGAGAAGGGAAGTGCATCCCTGCTCTATCTTTTGGCTCAACCACAGCTGATGCACCTGCTGTAAAAAAACACTATAATACAGAGTCAATAACTGGCTCCTCTGAGTCTATTCTGCATAAATGAATGAAGGGCCACACGTCTTATTTAACTCGTCCCACATTGAGTGCAGTATTCCAGGAGTTTGATGATGTTAAAGTATGAATGAGTCGTGGGAGACATCGTAGTTTTTGAATTTTTATCTTGCCTCATGCTTATTGTTGAGATCTGAAATACTTAATTTAATTTATTTAAATCAGTCATACGAAAATGCTTGTTCCATCTTTTATTATTATTAATATTATTATTTCTTTCTGTGTTCACTTGAGTTCATTTTGATTATCTTACTAATTTTAAGCATACTGCTTTATTCCACTAGAGAATAGGCATTTTGTAGTATTTATTATTAAGGTGTTATGTCACATGTATAGACCAGACCTGCAGCTCTACAGTACTTGTGACCTAAGACAACATTTTCCATGTTATAATGCAGTATGAGAATCTGTCAGGCGTCCGCAGACTCACTTGCACTCAACCATATTTTTCCTCCTCATTCTTACATTTATGCTGACTTGTTTTTTTGTTTTGTTTTTTTCTAACCCATAAAAGAATCAGATCAACTGGCAGCACTGCCTTGAACCAACAGCCACTCTTGAGAGAATTTAATAAGTCATTTCATGTCTCCATCATCACTAAACTGCCGGCTGCATTTTATCCCACTGAGTACTTTGTAGGTCGCCATTTCTCATCTATAATCCACAAAGTGCTGTATAAACTGAAGCAGCCGTTCTGCTCTGCAGTCACACTCTTAGAACCGCTTTTTCTTCTGCGCCGTGACTCAGGGAACTAACGCAGAGCACAACAATCGGCCTGATGTGAGGAGCGAGATGACTCCGTTTAATACCAGACCTTAATGGTCCTAAATAAGGAAGGAGGATAACGGGGTTCAACCTGAGGACAACTCACACCCTGTAAGTTGTAATGAACACTCTCACGTGCATTTTGGATTTAAGGTTTATT